TAGAAGTGCAAGTGCCTAGGCCCCACCATGCACACACGTGCCAAGCCTCTTCTTGCTTCATTGTCTATCAATGCCCTATTGACCAAAGCAAATGACATAGCCAAGCCCAAGGGCAAGGGTAGAGAAGTAGCCTTTGTCTCTAGTGGGAGGAAGTACACAGTCACAAGGCAAAGGGCACGGATTCAGGGTGGGGTGCAGAATTGGGGCCAACAGTTCAATCAAAATTTCCCTCAAATTTATACACTAGACATTCTGAACTGTTTGCTCCAAGTTTGCACATTTCCTCATCTTTCCACTGCTGACCTATTTATCTATTAACATCCAAAATGGTAATAGTTATCTTTGGGTGATGATGTTAATAATCCTTTTTATTTTTTGTCTTTTTTCTAATCTGTATTTCTGATTTTTTCTGCTTACAATTAACATATATTACTTTTGTAATTTTGAAAAGTTTTTTTTTTTTTTTTTTTTTAAAAACAGCTTCAAAGATTAAACTTTAAAGACTGAATTTGGGAAATAAAAATCTGCGTTGCCCTAGTGCCTGATTATAAAATAAGGCTGATGGTGCTTGTCGTGGCATTTAAATACCAGCACAAACTTCCTCTTAAAACTTTGTAAATATGAGGTGCAAAGAAATGATTCCTAAAAGTGAAAACGGTACAAATGAATACTTTCTTTAAATCTGTAGCATGATTGCAGATTCTGTTAATTTCTGTAAAGAACTACACACGAAGGAATGGATTAGGTAAACAAACCTTTTATTTCCATTGTTCCCTCTATTGAAGACAAGAAACACACACTGAGTACTTAATACTTGCAGGGAGCAGAGTTCAACGAGGAAGACAAAATAATCTGGGCTTTTAAAGACTTTACAACTGGTAGGGTACAAGTCCAATAAACAAACAAATAGCCATCATGCACTCCAACTCAGAATAAGACAAATATATATTTTTTTTTAAAAAAAAAGGAAAAATAAAATAAACGCTTCCTCGGAGAGGAGAGATCCTGTTAGGCTGGGGAAATCACAAAATGGCTCTTGGAGGAGTCACTAGTACGGATGGTCCTTAAAGGGTAGGTGGCCCTCCCCAATTTCCTCTCATCTTAGTGCTTGCTGGTTTGCTTCTATTTAGAAGACAAATTGGCAAAGAGATAAGAGATGAGAATGCAGATGGATTGATTTGCCTAGAGAGGAATCTCGCTGTCCTTCCCTTTAGCTGCCAGTAACCTCAACAGCTGCATGTCAGAAAGCTCTTGCCCCATCACAACCGAGAAATGCAGGGTTTGAAATTAACCACACTTTGATTCAGTTCAATCATTCGTGTGTGTGCAGAGTTGGCAAAATTGGAAAAGGAATACTGTCGAGCTTTTGGGCTGGCTTCAAGTTGGGTTTTACTGTTTTTCAGCTTGGATAGGGCTTAAAAATGACCCTCCTTGTTTTTTAAGCTCTAAGTCAGTCTTTTATTTTCTTCTGTTTCTAACAGCAAATGGCCCAAATTTTGCATATGTGTATGTACTGCCTATATGGATATACAGAAAATGACGTTAAGCCAATACCCAACTACCTGTGAAAACAGCGCCTTGATCTCATGCTATTTCCTTTCAATGTGCATCTCTAAGCAAAGGGCAAATTGACCAATTTTTAAGATTGTCAAACCGTAATACCCATTGGTTTACATGTCTGTGAGTCCCTGGGTGGCACAAATGGTTAAACGCTAGATTACTAGCCGAAAGGTTGGTGGTTTGAACCCACCCAGGGGCGCCTCGGAAGGCAGGACTGGTGACCTGCTTGCGAAAGGTCACAGCCTTGAAAACTCTTTGAAGCAGTTCTCCCCTGCACACATGGGGTCGCCATGAGTTGGAATTGACTGGAGGGCAACTAACAACAACATGTCTATCATTTCATTGTGATGGTTTCTAAAAGACTGGTGGCGCACTGGTTAAAGAGCTTGGCTGCTAACCAAAAGGTTGGCAGTTCAAATATACCAGCAGCTCCTTGGAAACCCTATGGGACCGTCCTACTCTGTCCGATAGGGTTGTCGGTATGAGTCGGAATCTACTCAAAAGCAACAGGTTATTGGTTTAGTTTGAATTGACAATGATGAATTCATACTTTCCTCAATTTCACAGGACACTGACAATTAACTTGGAAATGGTAAAGGTAAAAAAGTAAATCAACACTGTTGTGCCGTTGAATTGATTCCGACTCATAGTGATCCTGTAGGACAGAGTAGAACTGCCCTATAGGGTTTCCAAGGAGTGGCTGGTAGATTCAAACTGCTGACCTTTTGGTTAGCAGCCATAGCTCACTGTAGCTCTTAACCACTGTGCCACAAGGGCTCCAAAGTCTACCAGTTAAACATTCCACCAAGGAATCAAGCATCTTAAACCTGGCCTCTAACAATGTAACAATCTTTGCGATAACTATAGAAAAGAATGCCTTTGGAATGGATTGGGCATTTATTTGTCTCAATGTGATTTGAGGAGTAAGGAATAAGGAAGTACACGTATGCTGTCCACAGGAGCTTGGGCAAATTTAGAAGAAGAAGAAAAAAGGAAAGAAATACATACACTTCCCCGTTCTTAAGAAAAGGAAGTAGTGCTGACATCATCCCTCCAGCTAAAATCTAGCCTGTTTCCATGTCAAATAATCAGGCAATAGAATGCCTTCTTTGGGGTTAGGAAGGAACTAGAATGATTTTGTAGAATTTTCTTCTGAATCTTTATTATCTCATTCATTCACTCATCCAACAAATATTTCTTAAATGCCTATTATTGTGGTAGGTTCCGGGCATACAATAGTGAGTAAAGGGAAACATATAATTCCTGTCCTCAAGAGATGTAGAGTTGAGTTGGGGAGAAGAATTGAAATTAAAGAATGACATAAACAATCACAAAATTATAGTTGTAGGAAGGGCTAAAAAGAGAGGTATATGTGCTGAGAGAACTTATATGAAAAGATCTACTTAGGGAGGTTAGAGAAAGCTTGCCCATTAAGGAAGTATGACACCCAATAAAGACTAGGAGTTGACTGGGAAAAGAGAAAGGGAAGGTCACACTGGGGAAGGCCTGGTATGGAAGAGATGCAGGGCATGTTCAAAGAATTTAGAGAAGGTTCTTAGCATGCCAGGGTGGGGAAGAGTGGAACAAAAAATTACAGGAGAGGTTAGGGCTTTAGGGCATGTTAAGAAGAATTTGGGAAGCCGTTGATATATTTTCAACACGTGGTTGGTATAATCAGGTTTGCATTATGAAAAACTGACCCCAGCTCTGGTTTGAGGAACTCAGTGAAAGGGTCCATAATCGCCTTAAGGAGGTGGTTAAGGGGCTCCTGCTCAAGTCCCAGCAAGGGATGGTGGTGGCAAGAGAAGAGTGGCTGCATAGGAAGGAGAAGTGAATTTTGAACTCAACCTTCACACCATTGATAAAGTAGCTCCAGCTTTGGCAAGGCTGCTGGTGGACAAGAAGACGTCCAGCCCTCCTGATGCCACTGTCCTTCCTGCATCCTAAAGATGAGAGCTGGGAAGTGGCATTATCCTAAAATGCCAGAGGCAGCTTTAGCGCTGGGTGGGGCAATGTGACAAGATCAGATCAAACCATTCAATTCATTTCCAACCAGGACACATCTGAAAGAGGAACGGTGTTCTATTAACAAACTGCAAAAACCAGATGTAAACCAGGGTTGTCCTGGGCAAACCTGGTGGATTCAACAAGAAGGGAAACTTGACAGTTTATTTATCCTGTCCCACTCCTTCTATTGCTCTTTTTGCAGATAAGAGGCCATTGTCGGAATGCAAACCTAGATGTTCAGCTGACTCCCAGGCCACTTTTATTTTTACATTTTCTGCTGTATTGGATACATGCTAAAGATAACCTGTCTCCCGCTATCCGGGAAGGAGCTGTTACAGAGCCTTGATGCTCAGAATTGGAGGCAGCGACCAGGAGAAACGCGGAATCTAGGCCCTGTCCCAGACCCACTGAATCAAAATCTTCATTTTAACCAGATTCCCAGGTGATCCGTACGCACATTAAAGATTGAGAAAAACTGCTGGACTTTGACCTACAGTAACAAAAACATTTTAGAATGTGACCGTGCACGCACACACATGCGTATATACATAACTGAAGCAAAAGTTTAATGAAGCAATGCTCACCCTGACGATTTTACTAGAAAAAATAATTATCACGACTCACAAAATAGACTTCAGGATACACTCATGGGTCGCGACTTGTAGTTTGAAAAACACAACTCTAAAGCCCCTGGAAACAATCCGAAGAAGGTTAGGATAGGGGGCCGAGGCGGGGGACTTGGTGGGGATGCTATGGAACATGTAGAGACTGTGTTCAGCCGCTGTCTGAAACGCCTGCACTGAGTCACTCCTGAGTAAACGCTTGTGGAGAAGCAGTCCAGAGCGGTGGAGGGGGACAGAGAGGGGCAGTTGAAAGTTTACCAAGTCCTCAGAGGGGCTGGTCTAGGGGAGATGATTGACAGCCGCGCGAGAACGCGAGGGCTGGAAGGCAGGAGAGGGAGAAGGCTCCCCGGCGGCGAGAGGTCCTGCCCAGCTGTTGGTGAGGAGTTTCCTGTTTCCCCCGCAGCGCCGGGTGAAGTTGAGTGAGTCACTCGCGCGCACGGACAGACGACACCCCCGCGCGCGCACATGCCCGGGGCAGGAGCCGGCCTCCTGCGTAGCTCCCCTCGGCCGCCGGGGGCCTCCCCGCGCCTCGCCGGCCTCCAGGCCCCCTCCTAGCTCGCTCGCGGGCGCCACATCTGGCCCGCACATCTGCCTGGCCGGCCCGGCGCGGGGTCGCGAGAGGGCGCGGCGCGGAGGAGCAGCCGGGGCTCGGGGAGCGCCGGCCGCTGCGCTCGGGGCTCGGTCTATGCGGAGCAGCGGGCTCTGCCATGGGTCGGGGGCTGCTCGGGGGCCTGTGGCCGCTGCACATCGTCCTGTGGACGCGCATCGCCAGCACGATCCCGCCGCACGTTCAGAAGTCGGGTGAGTGGCCCCCACCGGAGCCTGGCGCTGCGCCGGGGGGTCTCCTGGACTCTCCGCCCCTTGTCTGCGTTTGACAGTCGGCCCCGGGCAGCCGGCTCTGGGCGGAAACCGGGAACGTTGCCCCTCGCGGCACCCAAGCAGCTGGACTCCCCGAGCCGCAGGGATGTGGGAGTTTTTCTTTAAAAAGAGAAGGAAAGTTACAGTGGAAGGGGGCGCGGGGCACGTTGGGGCCCCTTTGTGCGAGCAGGAAAGGCGTTGTGTCGGCCGCGATCGAGCCGGGCCCCCACCCCCGGAAAGGGAAGTTTGAGAAGTTGGTTATCTGCAGGCGGCAGGGGAGCCGCGGCCCGGTGCGTCAGTCACCGAGGCCGGCCGGTCAGCTCGCTCACCTGGGCCACCGAGGCGGTGCTCACCTGGCGATGCCGCGCGCCCACGCAGTTCTTTCCGAGACACCACCTTCAGTGTCCAGTTACTTCCCCCTAAGATCCTGGAAGTGGCCACGCATCCCCCAAGGCGGGCTTCTGAGGCCAGGCGTATTGCAGAAAAGTTTCAAGAAAAGAAGCGATTTTCAAAGGAAAGTTACCTGGCATCCACTTGGCCTGGATGGGGTAGGGGGTGGGAATGGTCAGGTGGAAGGCGTGGGATTATTTATTGAGTGCCTGCTAGGTGCTAGGTGCCGGGGATGCTGCCTTCAGGGAGCTGATGGTTCCCTGAAGTTATCGTTTGGTGGAAATCGAAGAGTTAAAATCATAAAACAACTGCCCACCTGATCGATCTTGATCCCCAGAGCTTTAAAATAATACAAGCATTGGGAGCAGAATCCCTGAGACCTCAAGAGTCACAAAGTTTTGCAGCTGTAGTCCACAAAACTGAGCATCTGTAGCTGTGGTCTGGTTAACTGAGTTTTGGAGCAAGTCTTCTAACCTTTCTGGCCTCAGTTTCCTCATCTGTAAAATCCCATGGTTGGATTTAGGTAACTTTATGTTCCCTTTCTCTTTAACATCTTTTTTTTTTTTCCCTTGATGACTTGGAGATGACCTGGGTAGATATGGGGTGAAATGTAGAAGATACTGACAGCCCACATCACATTGCAACACATATTTTCTCTACCAAGGGGCACAGACCCGCTTACCTTTAGGTTTGTGCAGAAGAAATATGCACTAGAGTCTAGATGGCCCTGGTGGCTCAGTGGTTAAGAGCTACAGTGTGCTATGGCTGCTAACCAAAAGGTCAGCAGTTCAAATCCAGCAGCCACTCCTTGGAAACCCTATGGAACAGTTCTACTCTGCCTTAGAGGGTAGCTACGTGTTGGAATTGACTTGACGGCAATGAGTTTGGTGTTTTGGTTTTTCTAGATGGTAAATTTCACAGAAAGAGAATTTGAGGTAGATTGGGAACTTTTTAAAATATGGTTTATATTGAAGGTGGCATGGGATGGGAATTTTTAGTGGGATGAGGAAGAAGCACTATTGTAAGCAAAAAATCCTAACACGTACTTGAGCTCTAATGTTTAATAAAATCTCAGTGTTTCGTTCTTGGATGTTATCCTATACTGCAGTACCAGAATGCTCCAGAGTCTCTGGTTTTACAACAGACTCTTAAAATCTGAGCTATATTTTGGTAATAAATATTAAAAATGGCACCCTTACTTTTCTTTGTACATTAAAAATCGTTAAAACGTTGGTTTTAGATAATGAAAGAAGGAAATTATCGGGCCCTGATTTTGTTAGTGTATCTGGAATGGGCTTTGTTTACAAGGATAAGATTTATGATTTGCAAATTCCAGACTCAATAGTTCATGAGTTTCACTTAATCTATAAACGCACTTTTAAACAAGTAGCTTCAAAAGCCTAGTGTTTCGGTTTTTAATTTGGGTTTCTAAATAATTTTACAAAACCTGCAGTTTTTATATTTTTATGGAATTACAGTTTCAAAATGGTTGAACTAAGGGTTCATTTTGAATTTGCACTCATTTGAGTCAAATTAAATTTTTGAAGATGGTTGAAGATAACAATAGTGAAGATGAGAAACCAAACTCCACTTACATTTTAATTTTTCACGTAAGTAGTTTCAGAATTTTCCTAACATAATCGGTAGTGTCGAAACATTTTTCAAATATCTCAGTGTAAGATAAGATATGATGAAATGAGATTGTTTATAGCCTCCAATGAGGTCAGCTGAATGAACATCCATCTTCTGTCTAGTCGATGGATAAGTGGGCACAGGATTTCAGCATGAGGACAAATTCCACTGGTAAATATATTGGTACTGTTTTTGTTTTTGACTTAGTAGATTCACTCTTCCTAAATGCTTAAAATTCAATTACTTTTTAGGAGGAAAACTTTACGTGTCTGAAAACTCTTCAGATCTGAAAAATAATGATTTTTACTTTTCAGATACCTCAAAGAAGATTCCTGTCGAGGACTCAGTGACTCGATGTGGGTGACAGTGTCCTAGGGATAAACTTCTTTCTGGTTCCTAAAGCCACTTGAATGACATGCTTATTTTGTGAGGGTCACAGACTGGAGATCACTAGGCCCAGAATTTGATCTTTGGTCTAGTTACTTTTGTTTTTATAAAGCACATTTTCCCCTCCAGGCCACTTTTGGCCACTTCCGTTAATAACATCTTATTTTTAACCGGTTATGGTTTATACAAAATACGAACCACATCTTGAGTTCAGTGCTGGCTTTTCACGGTAGCGTCCAGTGGAGACAAGGACTCGTGATTCCCTGTGTGGTCAGCATAACCGCTGAAAGCTTTCCACTTCAGGTGACTACTTACTGTTCCACAGTTACCAACGTGACTTTTGAAATTCTTCTTTAGGTTCATTTTTTAACTCTATTTTCCCAATTAAGAATGACACTTCATTGGTACCATTGTAAGAAGGGGCCATGACTCATTCTTCCCTCCCCGGTGTCTCCTTGTGCCAGGCAGGATGCTCACCGTCCTGAATGAATAAGACTGACATGGTCTTTGCTCTCATTTATTGAACATGAAGGACAAGTTGTAGGCAAAGAGAAGGATACACGTTTTAACCCTGTGTACTTGGAAGCCCTGGTGGCGTGGTGGCTAAAGCGCCCAGCTGCTAACCGAGAGGTTTGCGGTTTGAACCCACCAGCCGCTGTGAGAAAAAGATGTGGCAGTCTGCTTCTGTAGAGATTACAGCCTTGGAAACCCTATGGAGCAGTTCTACTCTGTCCTCTAGGGTCGCTATGAGTCGGAATCAACTCAATGGCAATGAGTTTGGTTTCTTTGGTGCTGGGAAGCATTATTGCATACTGGTATTCTATTTTCTAGACCCCCGTCTTCAAAGCCCATATTTTGTTGAATGTGCTAGGAGGGCGTGCATGTTGAATGTTTCCTTCTCGGTCCCTCTGGACATATTTTTTCACTGACTGCTTCTCACTTTTCTATCTCTGCCTTTTTACAGGTCCCCAGTTGGGCCACCTTTAATTCCACTCCCCATTCCCATAGCCCGCGGGATGAACCCAGTATGTCTGTTCAGCCTTCCCTTTGCAGCTAGGCTGGAGGTAGAAGAGTGTAGGTTCCAAGCTTTGGAATCAGGCCATCCTGGGTTCCCAACCCACGTCCCATTTACCAGCTCTGTCACCTGTTGCAAGTTATTTTACTCTTTCTCGGTGCCCTCATTTATAAAATGGGAATCACAGAACCTGCTTCATGGAGTTTTGGGGAGGATTAAATGAAATAATGTTTTAAAGTGCTTAATGTGGTGCCTGCAGCATAGTAAGTGCTCAAAAAATGTCAGCTTCTACTATTATTATTATTATTAGCTCCTTAATCTGGTCCAACAGAGCCCTCAGTGACCTGGTTTCCATCTGACTCTGCAGCGTGACGTCACACCAAGGCCCACACTTTCCCCTCTTGTTGGTAACATCTCCAGTCCATTCCCATCACCACCCACCTACGTGCTGTGAGTGGCTTAGTCAGCTGTGCCTTTGCTGAAACTGCTACCTCTGTCTGGAACCCTTGCCACCTGGTAACGTTCCTTCATCTTTTAAGACTTAAGTGCCATCTTCTTAAGGAAACCTGCTTGGAATGCCCCAGATTGAGCTAAGTGTCCCCTTCTGGGTACAGGCCTCTTGTAGTTCTTAACAATAGGAAGCTGACATGTCTTTATGTGACTTCCTTGCCCAGTAGACCTTTAGGCCTGCCCACCTGATCAATCAAAGGCGAAGCGTGTGTTTTGTTCATTTATCTCCTGGATCTCATGTCGTGCCTAGCACATCATTTAAAAACCCATACCCTTACCTTTGAGTCAATTCTGACTCACAGCGACCCCATAGCACAGAGTAGAACTGCCCCATAGGGTTTCTAAGGAATGGCTGGTGGATTGGAACTGCTGAACTTTTGGTTAGGAGCCAAACTCTTAACCACTGTTCCACCAGCACCCGGGAAATGCTCAACTGCGCCTCCACTTTAACCTACTGCGGCTAGAGCAACCGAGGTCTACCATTTTCATGACCAAGAAGTCACTGTTTCATGGGAGTTTGATTTCAATGATAAAATCTTTACTTTCTGAATGGCCTAGGCCCTCTTCTAAATAGGCAATTGCACTGTTTTGTAGTGTGGATTTGCTTCTTTTATTCTGATGAGATATGGAGAAAGATCTTTGAACTTCTGACAAATGAGATGGTGAACTCCTAGAAGTTTTTATCCCACCTCTTTAGCTGTAAATGTTGAATTATTGCAGGATATTTGAAGCCATTGGGTAACTTTTAAAAAGTTTCACCAAAGAAATTATCCAGGAAACGCAGATTGTTTTTTCCTCCAGAAGGTTGTTGAAAAGAAACGTCCCTTAAAAAATGAAGAGCTAACATCTAAATTTAGTTTCTACTTTTCTTTTTTTTTTTAATCAGAGTTTTGTTTTTTGTCTGTAGGCAGTGAAGCAGAGTTGATCAAAGGGACGTGCGGTCCCGAAGCAGCCACTGTCTCTTGAAGAGCAGCATGGATCTTTTTTAGGTCTGATGTAAGCCACTGAAATGGTTGCAAATAGGGTGCAGAGGAAACCTATTTCCTGGCCACAGCATGGTGTTAGTTAGCCAATTTTCACATAAAAGCTTAACCATATCACCTTGCTAGCTTTTGCCCATCAGGTCCTGACGTGCAGCTTCTGCGAATTTCACCTACGTTTTTCAGTAGAAACGTGTTAGCTGATATGCCTTCAACAGCAGGAACGCTCACCACTTACTGCGTTCCCTCCTCTCCTTGTAACGTTTCGCTCCCCAGGTACTTGTTTCTTCAACTGGCGCAAGATAATGATTATTATAGTTCTTTGCCAGGCATGTCGGAAGGGTTTGGACTGCTGAGCAGGCAAATTGGCTTAACTCAGGGAAAAGTAGGGTAGAGAAAGAGGGAGAACTAGCATTTATTGAGACTCTGAGCCAGCCACTGGACATTACTTATCTAATTCAATCTTCAAAAGAAGCCCCGCAAGATAAGTTGTTTTCTCTTTATTTTATAAATGGAGAAAAGAAGGTCTGCTCAAGGTCACTTGGGGCTCGCCTCTGTGAGTGTGTGCTGATGTTCTAAGCTCTTCTATGACCAGTCTTTCCAGGCTGTTTTTTGTGGAGTAATAAATGTTTGTACATGTGTGTGGGGAAGGAAGTTGGTAAGAGAGGTATGGGTGTAATAGTCAAGAAAGGAGGAACTTACTATCTAACATCCTTAATTCAGTGCACATGACTTCACTGATTTACTTCGTTTGTGTGATCTGCCTCCTTCCTGATTGTTTTTGCACTACAGAAAATCAAGATAAGGTAGGGTTTTTTGTTTTTTTTGTTTTTTGCACAAGGGAACTCTACCATTCCTAGTCTGGTAATATCATTTTGGTGGTGGGACCTTGCAGGTGACCCATGATTTGACCATTGAGATCAGCTGGACATGCACCATTTTCAAAGATGTGTATTGCTGACCCCAAATTCCACTCAACTAGGAGCATAATCTGTGGACAGGCCTCAGACAACTGCTGGTGAGGGCAGGCAAAACAGAACTTATTTAACATCTCGAAGGACAAGGGGACAACTTGACTTTTGAGGGCCAACTAATTTGAAAACTTGTAGGTGCTAAAGATTCCCTCCTCACCTGTTCTATCAGTATCGCTTCTGCCTTTTACTTACTGTGATCAGCCTCTTAGATCTTGGCATTCAACATGGAACAACTGTCTCCTTGGGTGTAGTCAGCTTATGGTCTTCTGCTTGTAGATCTTTAGGCTCTTGAAGGTTCACTAGCATCTATGTTCTGTTTACAGGGTTGGAGCTATAGATCATCATAATGGATTTAGCTTCAGGGCAAGATATCACTGGTAAGATTCAAATATAGGAAAGGCTGTCTGCTCTCAAGACATGCAGCTCTTTGCTTTATTATTATTATTATTATTTCTGATGGGATATTTTTCCCCCCAGTATTTTTTCAATTCTACAGCTAAAATATAGGACTACGTGGGCAGGGGCTTCTGCCCTTGGCTTTAGAGGGTAATGCTCTTATTCTTCTCTGGTCAAGCCCTCGCCCGTTGGGTGAGGAGACTCCTGGATCTCTGAGTCCATACAGCCCTCCCTTTTTTATACCATATTTTGGGTTCCTGGGAACCTAAAATTCCCTGTCCAGGTGGTCCTGAACCAGCTTCTGTGGACTACACAATCCCATTGGCTTATCTTCCTGAGAGCCTTTGTTGTCACTGGTGTGTGCACCCTCTGCTTGACAGGTAGCCAAGGGACAGCTGTGTGTGTGTGTTAGAGGTAGAACTTGGGTGTCCATACACTTCCTACAATGCCCACCCTGATGCAGTATCCAGGGAGTGGAAAGAGGAAGGCAGATTTTCGGCTGGAACCCAGAGATAGTGTCTCCCCATACCATTCAATTCTAGGGAGGGACTTTGAATAGTCCAGGAATTCTCAAGTTGTACCTGGTCTTCTAAGACATTATGAAAGTATATTTGTCAGATAAGAGAATAGGACATATTTTAGCAGTTAGCTTGTTTTGTAGCTTGAAATATTTTGCCTTATGGTAGGTGGGCCTCCATTTGTACTCTTGCCCTGGCCCTGCCTGTGGTAGGGGTCCGTCTGGCATCAGCAACATTCCTTTACAGAAATGTTGGGTAGAAATTAAATTTTTGCCAGTTGTGTTATATGTTCTCTGGAGTAGAGAGCATTGTTTATTAATGAAAAAGTATTTTATAAAACTAAGAGTTTGTAATCATACTGTTGTATTTCCTTTGGGAAATTCAGATTTTCATTGTTTGTATTTTCTATTCATTTGGCTTGTCCTAAATTAATTTTTTTTTTCCTTAATGCCCTAGTTGCATTTCCTCAGTGTATTGGGAACACTAGGGCAAGGTAAAGCTTATCTGGATGTTTTTTTCTACTCGTATAAATATTTTACTGCCTTCTCAAGCCTCTTCAGGAAAGCAAGAAAATTAAGAGAGTTTAAGGCAGTAAAAAGCCCTCCTGATGCTAAAAAGGTATAGAATTGTCATAACTAGGCATTTTAGAGAACCAGCGATTGGGCAGAAAAAGCATGAATGCCTTTGAAGGAAAATGTGGGGTCACGTATGTATTTTCAGCAGATGCTAGAGCAGCTCTTTACCGGTTCAAGTTGTAAACCATTACAGAGATTCGTGGACTGTAGGAGGTAACTCACTCTGCTGCTTTGGGAATGACTCTCTGTCATCCCGAAACTCTGCACAACTTTTTTCCACAGGCAAAGGGAATCTGCCATCTGCCCTGTATGAGTGGTATTCCCATCTTAGAAACCTTTACCCCAGAGACCACATATGAACAAAACCAAAACCAAACCCACTGCCGGCGAGTCAATTCTGACTCATAGCAACCCTATAGGACAGAGTAGGACTGCCCCATAGGGTTTTCAAGGCTGTAAATATTTATGGAAGCAGACTGCCACATCTTTCTCCCATAGAGCGGCTGGTGGGTTCAAACCACAGACCTTTTGGATAGCAGCCGAGCGCTTAACCACTGCACCACCGGGGCTCCCTACATATGGATGGATTTCCCAATAATGAGATCTTATAACCTGTCTGGATCAGGCTGAGCACTTTGTGTGTACTATTTAAGCCTTAAAGCAACTCTCTGAGGCAGGTTTTATAATGCTCATTTTTCCATTTTACAGGCAGAACACCAAGTCCTCCTGATATTAGAAACTTACTTAAAGCCACTCAGTTAACCAATGATTATGTTGGGATCTGAACGAGGATGGTCTGTCTTAGGGGCCTGGAGCCCTAATTGTTATACTGTACTGAAACTATGCTGCCTCAGTTGACAAAAACCACTTCTCCATTTTATCATTGGTGGTGGGAGAGTCTTGGCATTAAGAGAAATAATGATGATACCCAACATTTTTCCTTGTGCTTTAGCATTTTTCGTATATTGACTCATTTAACTTCCATAGCTAAAAAAAAGTTTCAACACTATACCAGGTAATCAGACACCATGCTTGTCTTGTGACCTCAATGGGAAAATTAAGGATGTACATCAAGGGATATAGTATTGGCTGAATCATGGAACAGTTACGCCATCAAGGAGTCTAAGTATTCTAGTTAAAATAGGCACTTTATTGATTTGGAAGAAGTGGGGAAGTTCCAGGATGCATCAGATATGTAGGGGAAAGGTGATGGAATGCCAAGGAAGATTTACCTTGAAACCTGTGGCACTTAAAGACCTCTCCCTGGTATAAACCCTTCCTGGGCCCTGACAGAAGTCCCACCAATGTGGTGAACCAGTGTCAGCGCGTCAAAAATATGTAAGAAAATCTGAAATGCCCGGAACCTCACGAGTCACATACTAAAGAAACTTTATAGAGACTTCCCAAATTTGGAGGCCATCTAAAAAATTTATGTGGCCTTACCTCTAATGCATTATGAAATTGAAAGAAAGTTTCCCAAATTATTCAGTAATCAATTATAAATTCTGATCGAGTAAAGGTGCAATGGGAAGACGGAATATTTTTCTATTTTTTCTGTAGAGAATATTGTAAAATGTTATCGGAAAAGGTGATTAAAAATTACGTGGTCAAAAATGTAGGGAAAATATTTCAGAGATATGTCAGTCAGATAATTGATAAGAATATTTGTTTTCTTTTAAATTTTATATCTGTGGTATTTGCAGCTTGTTAAAATTTGTTATTTGTTATGATACCATTTGTAATCCTAAATAAATATTTTTCATTCCTAAATTTCTATTCTTAATTTTATATCCTTTGTCTTAAACAGTGCCCCTGAAATTTGTAAGCTTCAGCTTCTACAAGAACTGAGTCTACACATAATGGTAGGATTTACTTGTTGGCTTAGGAAATAAATAAGCTAGATAAAGTGTCCCCCCAATTACAAACAGAAACTAAAATCTGTGTCATGTCATCAAACCAATTTTTTTTTTTTTTAAGTTTAGCCAAACCCTTCATCATTTTCCTAGTTTAAGGACCACACGCCAAGTAGAAAAGAAGTGGTAAATACATAATTATCTCAGAACCTTGATTTTGAATGAAAGGTAACCCAGACATGACCCTTAGGTTGAGATTAAGAAAACCTCTGCCTTAGAGACAGCTGGGAAAGACTAAAGCATGTTGTACTGGGAATCGAGGTATCTGAGTGGCTTGGCTATGGCTCTTGGTCCTGCTGGGTCTCGTTTTCCTTCCACGCACAGTGACAAGAATTGGACGAGATCAGTTTTTCAGTTCTGATCAATTTTATTCCTATGTTAGTTGAGAAGTCATGGAAATTGACTTAGAAACATTTACAGACTAGAAAATTTGTCAGAACTGAGATATCACAAACCCAATGGAGTTCATTAGAGATGACCATCATTATAATAAAGAAGAAGAAACCATAGTTATTTTGAAAATTTCCTACTGCAGGTGCCTGAGCATACATCCTGACTAAATGGCATGTTTACTTCAGCCAGAAGTCACGCCCTCATCGAGAAAAAGCTTACTTGGTTTGGGTGGCGATGTCTTTTCTCTTTGGTTAATTATGGCATTTTCATTATCCCTTTCCGCTGAAGTGGTAAAGATGTCTGTGAGGCTTTTTTCTAAGGTAGAAAATTATAAAGTGTTGCCACATTTGCATTGCTGTGTCTAGGAGAAGAAATAAAACCCTAAAGAAGCTTCTGGGTTTTTGGGGGGGGAAGAAGAAAAACATGTCTAGATATAATTAGTGTTCTATTGCCTTCCGAAGATTTCTTCACCACTTTTCTTAAAATATTCTCAGAAGAGACAGAATTTGCTACAGATTGGCAGTTTTCAGCCTGCTGCTGTTTTAGGCAGGGGAGTAGCTGCTCAGTCCCATAATTGCATTTCTAGCACAGAGTAAGAATCTTTTAACCACTGCTTTGAGTGACTGTCTAGTTACTACATATCACGCTTATGTTTTGTTCTTTAAAACCCATTGTATTGAGTGGAAAAAAGACTATATGATATCATTTGTCCTACAAGTAGATGAAAAGAAAGAAAAAGTAACCTATATTTCATTCATTATTCTGGAATCCCTGAAGATACATTGTTATAAATAATGTCTAACAATCTCAATCCACCCTGGCACTCTTTCTTTTATTCTTATAATTTCTGTGATCCAAACCTAAAACCAAAACCATTGCCATCGAGTTGATTCCGACTCATAGCGACCCTATAAGACAGAGTAGAACTGCCCCATAGGGTTTCCAAGGAACGGTTGATGGATTTGAACTGCCAACCTCTTTGTTAGCAGCCGTAACTCTTAACCACCGCGCCACCAGGGCTCCAATTTTTATGATAATTAATCTTATAATTTTTATTACCTCTTTTATTGCCTATTTATCTATTCTAATGAGCAACGGGCTATCTCTTCCTTTGTTGCTATCTCCTGTTCTTTATGGCTTCCAGCTTGCTCCCAGCTGTTCCTAGTCCTCCAATTGAGCCCAAGCGTTCTGACTCTGAAAACAATGGTTTTCTATCATCCCCTGATAACTGTCATTCCCAAAACATCATCCTGATAACAGCAACAAAGGATGATCTAACACCTCGCTCTTCAGAGGCTCCTCCCGGGATCGGCAGCAATAGTATGAAATGTAGAATCTCAATATCTACGACATCAGAATCTGCATTTTAACAAGATCCCCAGGCGTGTACTTACTGAAGTTTGAGAAGCACAAGTCTAACAGTGTTAAAGCATTTTCTCCAGCAGAGTCAAGTGATCTGCAGTGATTTGGGTGGATGAGGTCAGATCTGTTTCTGTCAATGAGGAAGAGGAAGACTGAAGGAATAGTTAGTTGCTCCTAGTTTTATGAGAGTCTTGACTCTTTCTAAGCTATAAGGCCGGCTTTAACTGTATGTAATTAACCCCAAGGCATCAGGTCAGTTAAATGAGTCACCATTTCTAACTAGTCTGCTTCCCCAAAGTATCCTTTATGGCTCTCGTCTGGTGACTGTTCCTCAACCGTGAACTGTAGAAGCCGAGGATCCGTTTCTTTCCTGAGCTAACAACATTCGTCATGTTTACCTCATGAGACGCTTAGCCACAGACCACCTTGACACATGGAGGCCTTCATTAATCCTGGGACTGTCATGCCCTGGTGTTTCTTGAAGTATGTAGCGCTCTATCCAAAGTATGTACTCGATACATCAATGAATTCATGACATAGGATTTCAGGAAGAGATTTTGTTCTTCAGCGTTTTTTAAAATTCACCTCTTCTGTCTTGAGAAACTTGTTTGGTTGATACTCATTGAGGATTCACTGAATGTTTCTTGAATCTCTCCACATTTAATTTAAACTGTTCTCTGAGTGCCGCTAGGAGCTTTTTCATGGAGTGGCTTCTGGATATTACTCACTAAGAGGCAATTTTTTGCACCTCAGTTATTTTTTTGTTGAGGCTTTGTATTTATATTATTATTATTATTGTGGTGGTGGAAATATACATGCCCAAACATTGACCAGTACAATAACCTTCCCATTTACAATTCAATGGCATGCATCTCAGTTACTTTTGTCTTCTAGAATTATGGGTCCCTGTAGTTCAGCGCGGAAACCCTGGTGGTGCAGTGATTAAGAGCTAAGGCTGCTAACCAAAAGGTTGGCAATTTGAATCCACCAGGTGCTTCTTGGAAACTCGATGGGGCAGTTCTACTCTGTCCTATAGGGTCAGTATGAATTGGAATCGACTCGACGGCAGCAGGTTTGATTTTGGGTTTGGTGGTTCAAAGCTCGGCTGGCTGTGGCAGCCTACTTCCATAAAGATTCACAGCCTTGGAAACCCTGTGGGGCAGTTCTACTCTGTCCCGTAAGGTCGCTATTAGAATTGACTTGAGGCAGTGGGTTTAATGGGTCTGTTATTAACACCCTTAGTTAACACGGTGACTACAATAACCACTTCTCACAACTACTTTCTGATTGTTCCAAATAATTTTATTTTCTGATTTTGTTCTTCTGCTTTTGATGCCTGAACTTCACTTGGCAAAAAAAAAGAAAAAGAAAAAAGAAAAAAAGCATGAGAGAGAGAGCTGAAAGAAAAAAAAGAAAAACTTTCCATTGCAGCTTCTAGCTTATGCTACTTCCTGTTGCACCAAATCTCACTTTATTCATCCGAATGATTTTCAAATCTTAACATCGAGAATCTGTTAACCAGACATTTATTTATAACGGGAACCTAGTTACATGAAATGCATAACCATTTGGTTTCATTTTTGCTCTTGTCTTTGCTACCACAATGCAAGTTTGACCTCTTATTTTCTGACATCTGTAAGACTCTCCAGATTGGTTTCTGCCTGTGGACTCCCCTTGTCCCTGATCTCTTCGTATACGTACAGTCTACCTACCCACCAGACATCATTTTGCATAGGTGACTGGGCTCCCTGCAAAGGCCTCTGGGAATTCCTGGTGATTACAGGGTCCTTGCTTCCTCCCTGAGGTCAGGAGGTGCCACACGGCTTCTAAGACGACCTTGCACACAGATGGAACACCAGACCTGCTTGATGAATCCAAGTGCAGATGAGGTCAAGCCTCTTTACCATTCCTACATCACCCTTGTGCAGCCCTCATGAGCTGGCTGCACTCAAACCAGCTTCCTCACACAGCCTTTATGTTTTCAAATTGCCTGACTTGTGACAATTCCCCTCCCCTCAATTCGCCCATTCGCTACCCGTGCCCTAAAACACCTTCGAATGCCACTTTTTCTGTTGCGTCTTCCTTTCCTATCCTGGTCAAACTCACCCTTTTCTTCCGCACAGCTTCTTCAACAGGCTTTGCTTTTGCACTCACATAGCCTTGCTCCTAAAGCCATCTGCGGTGAAATGTGTGTGTTGTAACTCCCTTAAAACAGTTCACTGGAGTCGATTCTGACTCATAGCGACTCCATGTGTCAGAGTAGAACCGTGCTCCATAAAGTTTTCAGTGGCTGATTTTCTGGAAGTAGATTGCCAGGCCTCTAGGTGGACTCTATCCTCCAAACTTTCATTTAGCATGTGAGTATGTTAACACTTGGTACCACCCAAGGACTCCCTTACGAGAAGGAAAATTCTTTGAGGGAGAAACGTCTGTCTGATTCTTCCCCAGGGTTTAGCACATATTCTCTCTACAAGGTTGTTGCTGTTTGTGCCCAGCGCAACTAGATGGTACCCAGCTACCACCACCAACTGTGCTGATAGGGATCACAATAGAGGGTCCTGGACAGAGCTGGAGAAAAATGTACAACAAAATTCAAACTCACAGAAAAAGACCAGACTTACTGGTCTGACAGAGACCTGAGAAACCCCAAGAGTACAGCCCCCGGATTCTCTTAACTCAGTACTGAAGTCACTCCTGAGGTTCAACCTTCAGCCAATGATCAGACAGGCCCATAAAACAAACAATAATACACGCAGCTTAGCCGTGTATATGAGACTAAGTGGGCACACCAGCCCAGGGGCAAGGATGAGAAGGCAGGAGGGGACAGGAGAGCTGGACGGATGGAAATAGGGAACCCAAGGTTGAGAAGGGGAGAGTGTTGACACTTGGCAACCAATGTCACAAAACGATATGTGCATTAATTGTTTAATGAGAAACTGATTTGCTCTGTAAACCTTTATCTAAAGCACAATTAAAAAAAAAAAAAAACAATTGTTGCTGTTTGCAATTCATTGCATTTAAAGGCCGGGGAAATTGCTTGCACATCCAAAACAAGGGTGGCAACTTTCCTTTTTCTTTTTTTTTTTTTTTGCTGGACTGCGTACTTCTGACCGCCCAGTTTTGCGTGTCGATGGCTTTGTTTTTGGTAACTAGCTGTACTGTTGTTTGAGAGAACCGTGGGCTCTGGGAAACCT